AGGAAGGTTTCACCTGTTACCAAGATTGGAGTTTATACTTTGTTGCTAGATAGTGGGTTAAAGTTAGATTTGAATAAATGTGTGTACTCGTCTGAAATGGCGAGGAATATTATTTCCTTTCATGCTTTGTACAAACAAGGTTTTACCTTTTCTTTTGATAATGAAGTTGGTAGTATTAATGCTTTCTTTAATAATGTTCTTTATTTTAAAGCATTACCTTGTGATGGTGTGTATGAAGCTGTATCGGTTGTAGATAATTTAGGAAATAATGTATTGTGTATTGATTCTTCTACTAGCTTGGATAAAGCATCTTTGTGGCATTGTCGTCTTGGACATGTAAGCAAGAAACGCATAGGCCAGCTCCAAAAGGATGGAGTCTTGGAGTCGTTCGACCTCAAGTCGGATGATAGTTGTGAGTCTTGTCTACTTGGAAAAATGACAAAATCACCCTTCACTGGTACTTGTGCAAGGGGTGAGGGTTTGTTGGACCTTATACATACTGATGTATGTGGACCATTCAAAACCGCCACAAGGGATGCTAATCGCTATTATGTGACTTTTATTGATGATTTTAGTAGATATGGTTATGTCTACTTAATCAAACATAAGTCAGAAACTTTTGAAAGGTTTAAAGAGTTTAAACAGGAAGTAGAAAATCAATTGGGCAGGAACATTAAGATGCTTCGATCCGATCGAGGTGGTGAGTATCTTAGTACTGAGTTCCTCGACTATCTTAAGGAGTGTGGGATTGTCTCACAATTGACACCTCCCAGGACACCACAGCTGAATGGTGTAGCTGAGAGGCGTAATCGAACTTTGTTGGACATGGTTCGCTCTATGATGAGTCGAGCTTCGCTACCAATCTCTTTTTGGGGGTATGCCTTAGAGACTGCCGCCCACATCCTTAATCTAGTCCCTACAAAGAAGGTTGCCAAAACACCTCATGAGATGTGGACTGGGAAAGTTCCCAATTTGGACCACATCAAGATTTGGGGTTGCGAGGCTTTCGTGAGGCGCGAGACTCATGACAAGCTCGAACCTCGAAGTGAAAGGTGTATTTTCATCGGCTACCCACAAAAATCCTTTGGTTACCTCTTCTACAGACCCAGTGAGAATGTGGTCTTTGTGGCTAGGAGAGGGGTCTTTCGAGAGAGAGAATTTATAAACCAAGGAGACAGTGGGAGGCAAATTGACCTTGAAGAAATTCAAGAGTCAATTGGTGAAGGAACCTCAGACACTAGCAATCAACCTGAGGAGGAAACTCCTGTTGATCCAGCTGACGAGTCTGTACCTCCGAGGCGTTCCACAAGGGTTAGGAACACACCTGAGTTTTATTATGGATTTCATATTACTACGGAAGGTGATACATTTATCAGTGACAGTACACTGGTAAATCTGGATGAACCTAACAGTGTTAAGGAAGCCATGGCAGGCCCGGAGTCTGCTAAATGGAAGGAGGCTATGGACAGCGAGATACAGTCCATGTATGACAATCAAGTTTGGAACTTGGTTGACAATGTACCAGGCCGTAAGACAGTCGGGTGCAAATGGATCTTCAAGAAGAAGACCGACATGGATGGAAAGGTACACACTTATAAGCGCGACTGGTCGAAGGGTTTTACTCAGACTCAGGGTATTGATTATGATGAAACCTTTTCACCAGTAGCAAAGATTAAGTCTATTAGGGTTATGCTAGCCATTGCTGCATTTCATGATTATGAAATATGGCAAATGGATGTCAAAACCGCTTTCCTTAACGAAAGTTGGCTGAGGATGTTTACATGAATCAGCCAGAGGGTTTTGTCAGTGCAGAGTACCCTAATAGAGTGTGCAAGCTTGAGAAATCCATTTATGGATTGAAACAAGCATCTCGAAGTTGGAATCTTTGTTTCGATGAGAAGGTCAAAGAGTTTGGTTTCTCAAGAAGTGAAGATGAGTCCTGCGTGTATGTCAGAGCTAGTGGGAGTATAGTTAGCTTTTTGGTGTTGTATGTAGATGACATACTACTCATAGGAAATGACATCCCAACCTTGCAGGAGGTTAAGTCCTGGCTTGGGAAGTGCTTTGCTATGAAGGACCTTGGAGAAGCTGCCTATATCCTAGGGATAAGGATATTAAGAGAAAGGAGTAAAAGACTAATTGGACTTAGTCAGAGTATCTACTTGGATAAGGTGTTGAAAAGGTTCAACATGCAGAATTCCAAGAAAGGAGAATTACCGATCCAAAGCAATGCCAAACTGAGCAAGGCTCAGAGCCCGAGTACAGAAGATGAGATAGCTGAGATGAGTCGATTACCTTATGCTTCCGCTGTTGCTGATCATGTATGCTATGACTTGTACCCGTCCTGATGTGGCCTTCGCTTTGAGCATGGTCAGCAGATATCAGGGGAACCCTGGCAAGGCTCATTGGACTGCGGTAAAGAATATTCTCAAGTACCTGCGGAGGACTAAGGATTGGATCCTTACCCTTGGTGGGAGTGATGACTTGAGAGTAGTAGGGTATAGTGATGCTAGTTTTCAGACTGATAGGGATAACTTCCGCTCTCAGTCGGGCTGGGTCTTTACACTAAATGGAGGGGCAATCACTTGGAAGAGTTCCAAACAGGAGACTGTAGCTGATTCGACTTGTGAATCAGAGTACATAGCAGCGAGTGAAGCGGCAAAGGAGGCGATATGGCTGAAGAACTTCATCGGAGACCTTGGAGTTGTACCAGCTATTAAGGAGCCTATGGAGATTTTCTGTGACAGCAATAGTGCGGTTGCCTTAGCCAAGGAACCAAGAGATCATGGCAGATCCCGACACATTGACAGAAAATATCACTTCATAAGACACAAGATAGAAGAAGGACTCCTCGTGGCAAAGAGGGTATCGTCAGATGAGAACCCTGCGGACCCCCTTACGAAGGGACTGACGAGGGTTAAGCATTTGCAGCATGCAAGGCACATCGGGCTGAGGGACGATATTAGTTTTACAGATTAGATAGTTATTACTGAAACTTGTAAAATGTAATCGACGTTTGATGATGAATAAAAGTTGTGATTTATTTATGAGTAAGGTGTTGCTATCATTGTCGATTATTTACTATTGTTTCAGCTTTGCATGTTTTGACTTCCAGAATAATAAATCTATTCAAATTCTCCACAGTCGGTCATATGTCGGAAGTAGGTATGAATCAAGACTGTCATGAATTGGGATTGTATATGACTAAAGGTGTTTAGCCATAGCAATGGTTGTTACAACATTCATGAGTGCTCATAAGTTATGAGTATTGGAATAAACCCACACTCACTTGTATCACTTCATGGAATTTATCTCGAGTGATCGTGAGACGGTAATATCATATAAGTCTTCAAACCTAGAGATATGAGTTGTTACCTATGAGTTGGTTGTGCATTAATTGCACGTAAACGCATCAGTAACTTGATGTTATAAAACGTGCCTTTGTGTACAATTCAACAAGTAGTAGAACAAGCATATGAGTAGAAGTTTATCTGTTCCTTCTTGAATTAGAAGCGATATTTGGGCCCCTCGATGATTTTTTTTGACCTATGTACCAGGCCCGTTCAGAACTAAATTGATGTGTTCAATTAAGTTCTTTGTCAAACAAGTTGGAAATCGGGAAACAAACTGCTGGACAATAAGTAAGACATTGTTCCATGTATTTGTCCGGCTGATATCATGACAGCAGAGGATTATATGATCACTTATCTAAAATGGCGCTTCATAGTTCAACAGAGTTTTCGAGAGCTACGATTATCGGTTGGTTCCTGAAGCTATATAGGCAAATACAGTTATCAGACTTATCCAAGTGGGAGACTGTTGGATAAGGTGTCTAAGTCCATAACTTATTTGGTATATACTTGACCCGGCCCGGCATGGTCCATTTGGGTTGCACTTCACCCGAACTATTTATATGGATAATATTATGAGAAAAGTATATTTGCGGCCTATTAATATATTATAAGTTATAATATATTAATATGAAATTGTATTATTTAATTAGTATTGATCTTAAATTAATTATGAATTAATTTAGTGATCATAAGGTGACTAATTAATAATGGGCTATTATATTTATACGGTGTAGGCTAACACTCATTAGGAAATGGGCTAAGCTTAAATGGGAGTCGATGGATGATCCATGGAGATTTTAACCCATGGATCCTTGGAATAGGAAAAGACATGGGTTATTAGGGTTTGCATGGTTCATAACCCTAATCATCTACACTATATAAAGGGGCTTATGGTGCTTGAAAAGACACTATGTGTGTATGCATAAGAGTGGCCGAATTTATAGAGTGATTGTATACTCTCTTATAAGTTTTCCAAGTTTGTGGTGATTTGTGATTTCCATTTGAGGCATTCACATTATTGGTGCTTGGCTCTCAAACTCCTAAGGAATCAACTCACTAACAAAGGTATGTAATTCTTCTAGTATCTTTTATGTTTAAAAGTACCCCATGCATGCTAGATAAGTTATGAACCTTGGAAAATTATTTTGCATGTATTTTAGACAAACATAGATCCAAGGTTTCTAGGGTTGCATGAACACCTTAGGAGTGTTAGTTTGCTCAAAACCCAACAACTTCGTCTTTCGATTTGCGAAGAGGGAGGATTCTCCGGGTCGACGAGAACGAAGGAAAGGAAAACGTGAGGACCTTTGGGTTTTGGCTACACCGAAGGATGAAGAAGAACGAAGCAGCAACCTGCTGTCGATTCTCGATGGCTGAAGTCGTAAGGAGGTGAGCACCTCCGTTGTTCAAATGGTCCGAAGAACAGGGAAGAGGCAACGAGAGTTGTCGTCGACCTTAGGGGTTATTTTCTCGGTCGGAGAGAAAAAAGGGCAGTCGATCCCCGGCAGACCTTCATCTCTGATTTGGGTCGACTTCTTTGGTTGATCAGGAATGAAAGACGAAGGCAACAGTAGGGGTTATTTGCTTCGATAATTTCTGTTTGATGATTACGGAAGACCTATAACTTTTGGTTCTGGTGGCGGGAATATGCAGAGGAGTTCAATTTCATCATTGGATGATGCGAAGATTGTAAAAGCTACACCAAAAGTCCATGTGAATGAAGATGTGAAAAGCGGAGTGCAGAAATTCTGTGTAATTCTTCTCTCTGAAGGGGGTGGAGTTCAGGGAGACATGGATGTGCTATGTCAGGTTTGTTTTATACATTTCACAAATTCTTGATCATATGAGGACATAGTATTTAAAGAAACTCAACTCGATCTTATCTCTGCAGATTGGTTTAGATGGTATTCGGATGCTTGATCCTGCAACAAACCGAACACTGAAACTCTATTCCCTTGAATCTGTAACAAGATGGGAGGTAAGTATGTTGCATCAAATTAATTTCTTGTTAAAGTTTAAAATCTCTGAAATACGACTCTAAATTCTTTCTTTCCTTATAGGTAATGGATTCAAATGTATTTGTTTTCTGGACCAAAAGTTCCATTGATGTTGATGAAAGACGTGTTAGACTAAAGTCAAACAGTTATACCACAACCAATATCCTTGACATGGTAGTTGCTGCAAGCATTCAGGTTCTGGAGTACTACTATGCTTCCATATTCTCTATGATTCATAAACTTTTTTCTTGCATATTCATGGTTCTTCTTTTAATGATTCAGCTCAAGGAGATGGAAGAAGTAACAATCTCTGAACAACCAACTGAAAAGAAGAAAGTCTTCCCTGATTGGAAAAACTTGATTAAGCCTGGAAATGAAGAAAAAGATCATTGGGTTAGTTTAATCTTCTTAAATCTGAATTGTATTGGAATTCTATTAATGGTGTCAATTGTCAAATAAAAATATTTGGAATTGAATCTGATTTTGTATGTAGGTTCCAGATGAAGCATCTACTATTTATTTATTTATTTATTGTTTTGTTTTCTCTTTTGCTTTGTAGCATCACTGTAGAAATTGTGGTGATATTTTTTGTGATAAGTGTACTCAAGGTAGAATTGCTCTCACAACAGAGGAAAATGCTCAACAAGTTCGAGTTTGTGACCAATGCATGGTATGCAATTCATAATTTAAAAAATAAAAAATAAAAAAATTATGATGTATATATAAATTTTGATTTTCTACTCATTAATTTTTTTTATAGGCTGAAGTTACTCAGAGGCTGAGTCATGTGAATGGGGTGGCAGGTAGAGGTTCTTCTGGGTTTAATAGGCATGAAGATCTTACAACATTCTACTGGAATGGAATCTTGAATTCCGATTCTGTCAGAATAAAATCTTGAAGATGAACATTGTATGGGATGAAGATGAACAATGACCACCAATCTTCCAAAAAGAATGGTTTATTCCAGCAGAATAATGTACAAAATAATGAACAAAAATATATGTAATCGTATAATCTGGTAGAATGATTTATATATTGTATTTCTTTGTTATTAATAAATGTAACATTCTCATAGAATAATATATAATTTTTTTCTTTTCTAAGAATGTAATGAAATTTTTTTTAACTTGTATCCAAAATTTTGTTATTCTTCAAGAAGTTCATTAAATCAAAATATATATTATGTCAGAATGTGTATTCTTGTATGGTTCAATCATATTTGTTATTTTTCAATATATTGATAAACATATTCCCTCAGAATGTTACGAATTACGAGAATTATCATCCATACAATCAGATTTTTAAAATTAATAGAATCTATTTTCCCTTAAAATATGCAATTTTTCTTAAAATATGCAAATTTCCGTTATTAAATTTATATTAATTGACTAAAATACTCTTCTAGTTAGAATAGATGGTATTTTTGATTTATATTTAATTCAATAATATGTAATAATCACTTACTTAAAATAAATAAAAATTGATTGGCGCACATTTATGCATACAATAACACAATAATTACTTTTAATAGAATAACCTAAGACTATATATATATATATATATATATATATATATATATATATATATATATATATATATATATATATAACCGGGACGAAATTCAATATACCAATAAAGTCATAACATATGATCGATCCGGGTAAATAATATTCATCTTGGACACACCATCCTTTTTTTTAACTGTAATATAGATGCACTACATCTCTAATTTAATATAGACATAATTACAAAAATGGTCCCTATGGTTTGTCAAAAGTAACAAAGTTAGTCCCTATTAATTTTTTTTGATGCAAATGGTCCCTGTGGTTTGCAAAACTTGTACAGATGACCCTTTTTACTAACGCCGTTAGTATTCAGCCGTTAAGGACTGAATTAGCAAGGGTATTTTCGTCGTTTCAAGTATAAAGGGACTGTATTCGCAACTTTGGGTAAACCATAGGGACCATTTTTTGTAATTCTATCTTAAAATGATAAGAATGATAAAAAATGAGGGGAAGAGGATTCGAACTTCGGACCACGTTCCCCCCTCCTTACTCAGCCAAAGCTCTAACCAACTAAGCTAGAGCCAAACTTATTATATAATTCTGAAAATTAATTAATATTATATAAAAGCGTAAATAATTAATAATAAAAAAAAATATTTAGAAAAAAAAAATTAATAAAACAAAGACAAAATATATTTAAAAAAATATTTTTTACAAAAAAATTTTAAAACAAAGACAAAATACGTTTTCGTATACTATGTTATTACATTGCTATGATCCTAAAACATATTTTTTTCGATTTCATATAAAAATACGTTTTTTTTTCTTTTACATAGAAAAAAAAGTTTTTTTACGTATAAAATATGTTTTTAATATATTGAAAAAATACATTTTCGTATAAAATGTTTTTACGTAAAAACATTAAGAACGTGATACATAACGTAAAAATATGTTTTAAGATTAAATCAAAACGAATTATATTTTTTACGTAAATCAAACTAAAGACGTTAACATAACGTAAAAATGCGTTTTTTTAACGTAAAAATGCGTTTTTTTTACGTGAAAATGTGTTTTTTTTACGTAAAAATATATTTACGTAAAAATATATTTTTACGTAAAGAAAACTAAAGACGTTTTTTTACGTATGGGTGATTGGTCCCTCACCCATATAACGTTTTTTTACTTAAAAACGTTAACGTGATAACATATTATATGAAAACGCATTTTTACGTTTTCTTTACCTAAAAAAATATAAGTCGTTTTGATTTGATCTTAAAACATATTTTTACGTTATGTTATCACGTTCTTAATGTTTTTACTTAAAAACTTTTTATACGAAAATGTATTTTTGAAATATATAAAAACATATTTTATAGGTAAAAAAAACTTTTTTTTCTATATGAAAGAAAAAAAAAACGTATTTTTATATGAAAAGGTAAAAATATGTTTTAGGATCATAGCAATGTAATAACATAGTATCCGAAAACGTATTTTTTTAAATACATTAAAAAAATATTTTATGTAAAACAAATATGTAAAAAAAACAAGTAAATTTTTTGTAAAAAATATTTTTTTACAATAAGTTAAAAATATATTTTGTTTTATTAATTTTTTTAAAATATTTTTTTAATTTTTTATTATTAATTATTTACGCTTTTATATAATGTTAATTAATTTTCGGAAATATATAAGAAGTTTGCCTCTAGCCTAGTTGGTTAGAGCTTTGGCCGAATAAGGAGCGGACAAGGAGGTCTCAAGTTTGAATCCTCCACCCCTTATTTTCTATCAATCTTAATATATTAAGACATAATTACAAAAGTGGTCCCTATGGTTTACCCAAAGATGCGAATCCAGTCCCTTTATACTTGAAAAGACGAAAATACCCTTGCTAATTCAGTCCCTAACGGCTGAATACTAACGACGTTAGTAAAAAGGGCCATTTGTGCAAGTTTTGCAAACCATAGGGGCCATTTGCATCAAAAAAAATTAATAGGGACTAACTTTGTTACTTTTGGCAAACCACACGGACCATTTTTGTAATTTTGTCTTTAATATATTAATAAAAAAATAGGTTAATTAAACGTGTATATCTTCTTAAATAAAATAAAATAAAAAAACACTTCTATTCCATCGACAGGATGAGGAATATTTATTCATCCACACACTTCCTACACACATTCGCCACACACTTTAATTCAAAGCACATGCCTCGTAGACTTGGAGATATGTCTGTGCTGAGCCTCTAAAAATGTCGTTTGAAAAGTCAATACTCCTATATCCTTGACCAAAATAACGTTTACTTTTTTGCTGTTTTGACTTTTGTTTGTTCACTATTCCCATCCACCCTATTTATAAATTCAAAATCTTTCAATGCTGTTTATAATTATTCACAACAACTTATCAAGATTTAGAATAGAAACCCAACAGTCAATCCTTGCTTTATTAATTGCTTTGAGTGATTTTCTCCACTTATCTGCAATGGGTGATTCTCAAACGGAGATAGAAGTTCCTTCATTTTTTGTATGTCCGATTTCTCTAGAAATCATGAAGGACCCTGTAACCCTGTCCACGGGAATAACATATGATCGTGAAGCCATAGAGAAATGGTTGTACACTCGTAAGAACAGCACGTGTCCCATCACCAAACAAACTCTTACAGATTTAGAGCTCACCCCAAACCACACCCTTCGTCGACTGATCCAATCTTGGTGCACAATTAATGGGCCATATGGTATCGAAAGATTCCCCACTCCACGGATCCCAATCTCCAAATCACAAATCTTGAAGCTCCTACAAGATTCTAAATCTCCCAATCTGCAGATGAAGTGTTTAAAGAAGCTAAAGACGATTGTTTCGGAAAGTGGTGTGAATAAACGATCAACGGAAGCAGTTGGAGCAGCTGAATACCTATCTTACATCATATGTAACCCTAGTTTTAATCTTACGTCACCATCATCGGTGGAAGAAATTTCTGGTGTTGATGGATTTGATAATTCAGTAACAGCAGTTGATGAAGCGGTGAACATCCTTTACAACCTTCATCTATCCCAAACCGGCCTTAAATCATTGTTCGGAAAGACTGGAGAGTTTGTTGACGCATTAACTCGCGTGATGCAATGCGCCGCCAATTACGAGACACGCACTTACGCCGTCTTATTACTAAAGTCAATGTTCGATGTGGCAGAACCCATTCAAGTGATGTCGTTAAAGATTCATTTCTTTAAGGAGCTTACACAAATCTTGGCCAATCAAGTTTCACCAAAAGCAACAAAAGCTGCGCTGAAATTACTTATCGAAGTTTGTCCATGGGGGCGGAATAGAGTAAAAGCTGTGGAGGCCGGAGCAGTTACAGTATTAATCGACACCCTGCTAGATTGTACTGATCAAAAGAGAGTGTCGGAGATGGTCTTAACGCTGTTAGATCATCTTTGCCAGAGTGCTGAAGGCCGGGCTGAACTATTAAGACATGGTGCAGGTTTAGCGGTGGTTTCCAAGAAAATCTTTCGTGTTTCACAGGTGGCAAGTGCGAGGGCTGTGAGGATACTGCATGCGGTGGCAAAGTTCTCGGGTAATACGAGTGTAGTACAAGAGATGTTGCAGTTGGGAGTGGTGGGTAAACTATGTTTCGTGTTGCAAGTGGATTCTGCAAGCAAGACCAGCGAGAAAGCTAGGGAGATTTTGAAGATGCATGCTAGGGCTTGGAAGCATTCCTCTTGTATACCCTATAATTTGGTTTGTTCGTATCCATCTTAGTACATTGATGCATTAAGACTTTTCGGACGTAGAAGAGTTTAAAAAAGGAAACTCTTGTATACGATCTACGTTTGGTTATATTTTTTGCTAAAGGAACCGTTGTACGTTTGGATCTTATATGTATACTCAATATGGAGAAAAGAAAGGGATTAGTTTTTGTTTGTTTGTTCTTGAAGATGAAGAAGTTAGTTATTATGACGATGGACTTTAAATTTTGGCACCAAAGAAGTGCTATTGAGCTCTAAACGTTGTAATCATATACTCAATCCCCAAATTGGTATATGAATTAATTCAAACTTTATCTGTCAAGCTGTTTAAGATTGCAAAATATTGAAATACCATATTGGTTTAGTAAAGAACCTAGTCTAGTCCAAACAACTCAAATTGGTTTTCCAAAAAGAAGATTTTCGAATTCCAGCTGTATTCGTCTTCTATAACGTTATTTGGTCAGTTTGATCATTTTCTTTTTATCGTTTCTATTTATCATATTCTTAGGATAAGGTAAGTTCAATTGACAAAATAGAAAAAAGTTGAAAATTGAGAAATTATTTTTCAGTCAATCATTTATTTTTGTTGTTAAACGGTCCGTAGTACGGAATATAAATAATAATCATATATTAATATAAATGTAAGTGTATTC